AAATAATTCATTGCATCAGTCTTCATGCAACAATGTTGTTATCAAGCTTTCTCTGTGATATAACCTATTGCGTTAGTCTCCATGCAGCAATGTGTGAAATCCACGATATAACTCATTGCATCAGTCTCCATGCAGCAATGTTGTTATCAAGTTTTCACTGTGATATAATCCATTGTGTTAGTCTCCATGCAGTAATGTGTGAAATCTGCGATATAACTCATTGCGCCAGTCTCCATATAACGATGTTGTCATCAAGCTCCTTTTCAAATATCTATTCCCTAAGTTGCGATAGATATGTGAGTAAACCTGCCTAATCCATTGCACCAGTCTCCATGCAAGAATGTGTTATCAGACTTTGTTTTATCCATCCCCTAGATTGCGATGAATAAACAAAATCTAATCAAACCAAAACTTACTATATTAGTCTCCAATCATTAGTAAGTCAACTTTTTAAGCTTGTATCATTTACATCCTATGTTACGGTAAATATACAAAATTCTACAATCTCTTTTAGATATTGATGGGATATTTGCGTCGTCATATCTAAGTCAAATCAACATTGGTTCAAATGCTGATAAGATGATACATCATCATCTATGCCTATTCTTCACACTCATGGGAACGCTATACAATGTATCCTTATAATCTTTTAAACAAATTTTGGGATCTTCCATTATTTAATAATCCTCCGATTCGAACGTGCGAGACCTACATATTCTCACACGCTTCAATCAAGAGCAATTAAATAAGGGCAATTATCATACCCCAAATTTGTCCGCTTCATTTTTGTAACTTGGTTTCATAAATTTTTTGGGTATTACTAACATTTTGGGTTTTATTTGTTTTTAAGACTATTTAATGTGTGATAACCAATGTGAGAATAACTCTAATGGTTGCAGGATTGACTACAAGTGAGAAAGTTTCATTAAAGTCAAAGCCTAATTTTTTCCAATAGCCATTTGCAAAATAACTTTCTTTATGCTTATTTATGCTACCATCCATATTTTCTTTAACTTTGAAAACCCACTTACAACCTACAACTTTTCTATATGGAGGTAAGGTGTTTAGTGTCCAAGTATTGTTAGAGACTTGAGCTTTGTATTCAACTTGCATGGCTTATAGCCATTGGGGATGAGATGTAACAAGGATGGAAGCATGAGCAAGAAAGGTTTGTCACATACCTATTATATGCATATGTTTCCTCTCAACTATTCCATTTTAATGAAAGGTATGAGAACAATTTAATCTTTGAGTAATACCTAATTCGATTAGGTATTTGGTCAGTGGCCTAAATTCATCCCCATAATTAGATTGCATTGAATTTATGTTAGCATTTAAATGTGCTTTAACATAGGAATCATACAACTTTAACGCATTAAAAGCATCAGGATTCTTAAGAAAATATATTCAATTATACTTTATAATACATCCACAAAAACAATATATTATCAATAACCACAACTAGAAGGAATGGGGAAGGCTTCAATAAATCTATGTGTATTTCTTCAAAATTGATCTGGACTGGGCCTGCGCTTGTCCCTCGGGGGAGTCCATTTCCTGGACTCCATACACACGTAAGTCCTGGCAGTTCCCATTATTGGGCCTCAACGTGGCCCAATAATGGGAACCTTGTCCTAGCGCTGGGGGTTATAGATACTCTCTCTTCTGAGAGGGCCATGTATTCAACACTTTCTAAACTCTCATACTTGCTTGCTCATTTCCAAACTCATTTGGATATCGGAGTGTCTTGCATGTACCCCCCACTTTACTCTCAACTTCTGCTCGAGCTAGCTGTGACGGTCCATTCTGGTCAGGTACGATAAAAAAGGATAGTGATATCATGTATTTTATAAAAGTTTACATCTAGCTAACAATTAAGTTTGTTTCCAATACCACTTTTGGTACCATGACCCATGACCCGATCATCATGGCCATGTTCTCAACCTCTAATGTAATAGTATTCACCTCTGGTACTAGAGCCATCTTGCTATGAATTGGAAAGTGCGAGAGTTGTATACTCAGTTTACAATGACAATACTTTTCTAAATTTATTCAACTGAGCCTCCTGAACATACAAAGACGATTCTACACCATAAAGAGTAAGACCGTAAATTTACATCACAAATGAATTATATTTATAAGAAAGACCATACGAAATCACATTGATTTGTGCTTCTTCGACTATGCCATCAACTATAATCAGAGAATCCATAATAGCTTTGATTTTGAATACACACTTTAAAAATGACCTATTTGCTTTCTTTGTAGAGTTGAGTTCCTATCGAAGTAGACAAACTTAGATCTTCATCATCGCGTGAAAGTATTTATGGACCATGTCCCTTACTTTGAATGTATGTTTGCAAGAGAAAACCTGAGGAATAACTACTTTAGAGATTGTGGAGAGAAATCATATGAATAAATTTTGGTCTTGCACAATCCACACCTCATGCTCATCACAGGTGATTCCATCTTGACAAATTTCATAAGAATTTGAGCGTTAACCTCAAATTTGTCCATTTTGTTGATGAGGATAACACCTTCCACCAGCTAATTTCACGTGAGAAAATTGCTATCATGAATTTTGATGGACACTTTGGCGCCAAAATCATTTTTGTTGGAGGAATTCAAACAAGCAAATAAAATGAAGAGATTTAGGGAAACTCGTAGAGCTTCTTGCAAATCCTAATTAAAATGATCAATTTCAATCATGAAAATTTTGAGAAGAAAAATTTGACGTGGTGAGAATAAAGATTTGAACTTCTATAAAGTTGAGAGAACGGTCAATTTTGCTAAAGCTTCTCTCAAGCTTTATGGAAAAGGAAATGAGAAAGCTTCTCTGAAGCTCTAGGAAATGATAGAGCTTCACTATAGTTCTTGGAGTGAAATTTAAAAGGTAAAATATCTAAATGATTGATACATATTAAGATTGATACCATATTAAAATTAAATGTGTATCATTTCATTTTTTTTACCCTACGCAAATGACATCTCATTTATTACACGGAGCTTAAATATTTCGTTGAATTAATTATACAACATATTTCATTTGTAAATACCTCTTGCATTCTTTAATCACTAAATTTTTTTAAAAAAATATATTGAATAACTACTATATCTGATATATAATAATAATCGGATACAATATTTATTTAATAAATATAAAAAATTATTTTTTAGTTATAATAATGACAGGAGAATGCAAATTCATCTAACAAACTTTGACTAGCTAACTCCTAACTACTTCAAACAAATTTTCTTAACAAACTATTTGTTCTCTATCTCTATTAGAGATCAACTTTTAAAGTAGTTTCTCAACGATCCATAAATTATACCTCTCATAATCCTCTTTTAACTCTTAATTAATAAATATATATTTCTATTTGTAATTTTTTAATAAATATACCATAAAAATATATAATTTAAAAGAGAAGAATAATCTCTCTTTTATATATACTATTTGGGGGTGAGATAGAGCTCATGGGACGGTAGGATGGTAGGTAGATAGCTCAAGTTTTATTTCCTCCTTAAGTCGTTTCCCTCACTTCTTTTGACACTATAAAACATCCACATCTATTATACTAACTTTGTTTTAATTATAAGGCTCTCTTGAATTTTTTTTCTTATTATTTTTTATAAAATTTCTTCGACTTTCAAAATACATTAATTATTTTTTTCCAAACATATCTTTAATTATATTACATATTTTTCTACTATTGATAATAAATACACTTGTATAAATATTAATAATTTCTCTCTTTTAAGAATATACTTGTAAAATTACACAAATAGTCTATATATATTTAATATTCTAACCAACTTTCTTAATTAGCATAATTTAATCTGTGGAATTTTATATTTAGGGACATGAGATAGTATTTATTTAGTTCTTTAACAGATCCCACTCAACTTTTTATATTATATTACACTTTTAAATTATTTAGATCATTCATCTATAATTCTCAAATATTCATCTAACTCATAAAAAAATTTAAAACAGATCCCACTAAACCCCATAATTTACATCCATATATTTTATTTACATTTGAAGTATAATATTTTATCTTAATTAAATGGGAAAGAACAGTTAAAGAACGTTCCTACATTAAAGAACATATGCAAATGTAGCAACGTTTTTTTCTCCTAAATATCTATTAGTTTGTGACATGATGGCTGAAAAATTTGTGTAGGCACGGCTTGAATCCACCGATATTTATGCTCTTAGGGCACTCTAGCTAGCACAGTTCAAAGGTGCATTTTACCTTGAGATATTTATAGATATTTATGCTCTTAGGACAGTCTAGTACAATTCAAAGGTGCATTTTACCTCAAGGGTCTAACCATACTCTAGTGTGCTAGTGCTACCAATTTGTTGTTCATAGGAATATCTACCATATCGTCTTTCTTACCTTTCCACAAGGACTCAAACTCATAACCCAAGACTTAAAGTACATGGTGTACCATCTTTGACACTCAAATTGAGTGTCAAAAATATGTCAAATGTAGAATTTGTGTATATAAAAAAAAAATATAAACATTGGTATGCGGTTCATATACGATGTCAGAAGCAAGAGAGCATGTTAGATAGAAAATATAGAATCTCAGCCTTACTCCATTTTCCTCACTAATTTAATAGTTTTCTATTTATTGTTTTGTCATGAAATGTCTCTTGAAGACTAGTGAAAATAAAGAAATAATAACTTGGTCAAGCCATAATAAGTAGTATTAAGATAAGGTTTGAGGATTGGTTGGTCAGCAAAGGCAGAAAGGCCATGTGAGACACTGTCATTGCCTTACAATACAATGGCACCATGTTCTGCTCACAAGGTTGTCGTAACACAGGACACAGCAAAAATAAAACAAACCGCATATGATATTCAGATAAATCCATCCCTTAAACCTTGCACATTTTCCTAACACTGCAACAAAAAATTAATGGACCCAAAAAGACAAAATAATAGAACCTGAAAAACAAACTAGCCACTAGTAAATAACTAATTACTTTACATGATGCTGCAACTCTCTGTGTTCTCATCACTGAAAACATGAGTAATAGGATCTGCCATAGGGTGTGAAGGCATTGGTGGTGGTGGCATGTAGTTCATTGAGGGGTGTGGCCTTCCTCCTCCATACATCATATGCGGCGGATACATACCATTCATACTCGCTTGCTGTTGCTGCTGCTGCTGTTGCTGCATCATCATAGCAGCCATGTATTGCTGTTGCTGCTGCTGTTGTTGCTGATAAGGATTCGGTTGCATCTGCATCTGCTGCATTCCTTGATAATAGCCACCATTCATCGCAGCAGCCGCCCCTGCCGGTAACCCTTGTACTGCCGGCCTCATGTGGTCCATTGGACCCATTTGGCCCATTGGAGCCATCCTATTCATTGAGCCCATCTGGCCCATTTGACCCATCTGGCCCATATGGCCCACATTACCATTATTGTTACCATGACCATTATTATTAACCTTGGCAGGATTAGGATTCCCTTTTCCATTTCCATTTCCACCTTTACCATTTTTACCATGAGGAGTACTGATATCAAAATCTTGAAAATCAAAATCAAGTTTATCCAATTTTGATCCACCTTTCTTACCACCTTCTTTCCCTTTGTTTCCACCTGCTCCTCCATTGTTTTTGTTCTTATTTGTTGCTTCACTTGCACTTCCCTTCTTGCTCTTTTTTCCAAGGCCTAGAAACTTAACAAGAAAACCACCACCACTATTTTTGGTTTTACCATTCTTCTTCTTGCTACTATTTTTTTCATCTCCCCAATCACTTTCACCTTTTTGCTTTCCACCTCCTTTGCTCTTTTTACCACCACCATCTTCCCCACCACCACCTTTTTTCCCACCTCCATTTTTCACCTCGCTGTAATTTCCATTACTTTTACCCTTCATCTGCATAGGTAGATCTAAAACATCACCTTTTTTGGCAGATGCATAATTACCACCTCCACCACCCCCACCACCAAAACCATTACCTTTATGGTTGTTCATACCACCAGGCCCTAGCTGTGGCCCACGACCATTACCCATCATAGCCATCATCTTGTTATTTTGCATAGGATGCCCAAATCCATTTCCATGAGCTTGACCATGACCATGACCAAAATCATCATCTTCATCATACTCATCAAAATCATCTTCATCATCATAGTCATCAAAATCACCATCACTCTCATCAAACTCTTCATCAGATAAATCAAAATTAACATGTTTCTGAGTTTTGTTAGCCCCTTTCAGATCTTTCCCCCCTTTAGGATTCTGAAACTGAGCAACTTGAACACCACCACCACCACCACCACCTTTCTGACCCTTCTGATTCTGAGCCTTGTTGTTCTTACCTCCTTTGTTGTTTTCCATTTGCACGTTCTTAAACTGAGGTTGCTGTTGTTGTTGTTGTTGAAAGTTTTGATTTTGATTGAACCCCATGCTTCTCTGGCCACCCCATAGTTCAGCATATTTCCCTGAACTTCTCAGCTTTTTTATGAGCTTTGCCGGATCTACGTGACCCGACACCAAAACTTTCCCCTGTTCTGCATCTATATTCACAGAATACACCCCTGCAAGAAACAACACAAAATGTGTTACTAACACAAAAACATAATAAAGTTTAAAACTTTGAATATATAACACAAACAAACATGTAATTAACAAGAGTTAAGAAACATAAACATAGGAAAATGTTAAACCGACATAGTAAAGTTCATGTTTTTGTTTTGAACAAAAACCGACATAGCAAGATGAAGAGACATGTTTAAAATGTACCTTCAATTTTCTGAAGAAGTTTCTTTACTTTCTGCTCACAACCTTCACAATGGATATTAACCTTGAGAAGACAATTCTACAAAAAGAAACAAACAAACAACACAACTCAACTTCAGGTTAAGTTTACTTCATAACACAAGACTAAGAAAAAGAGCAAGTAAAAAGAACAAGTGTGTACCTGAATTTTCATCATGTCTTGTTTGTTACTCATGTTTGGAGGTTTGAAATAAGTACAAGAGAGAGATTATGAGTATGAAGAAGATTGGAGAAGAGAGTGGAGAGATATTATTTTTTCTAAAGGTTGAAAAGGGTATTGTTGGAATTCAGTGGAGGGTGCTATATTTGTTAGTTTGCTTGAAAAATATCCGTACTATTTAGACACATTGGGAGTACTTAGGAAAAAGAGAAGATTGCCGATGCTGCAAGATAATAAACAGCTAGAAACTAGGTTAAGCTTCTCTTTTATGAGTTGGGCTTTATCACTAGTGGTTTCTTTATATATAAAAAAGTGCTAGTGGTTCTTTTTCTATTATCAGTTATTATTATTTAAGAATTTAAAATAAGTACTTTAATTGAAGGTTTTCCAAGTAGTATAAGTGACAGCTTAATACTGCCATTGTTACTCTCTTAATAATTCAAAGCAAGTATTTTTTTTATATATTTTTTATTGTTTTAAATAAAAAAGCAGTACTGTTTGACTTACTCTCTCCATTGTTTTAACAAAATAAAATTTGTTTTAAAATGTTTTTTATTTTCTTTTTTTTTTAATGTAGTAATAATTATTATTTTTCTAATTGTAATTTTTATTTTTATTTTAAATATTATTTTCAATAAATTAATAAAATTAATTTTATAAAAGTGTAATAATTTATAATAATATTATTAAATTTTTTAATTTATGTACAAAAATCTTAAACCAGTCATTTTAAACCAGACAAAGTTCTTTTTTACATTATTTTATTCAATTTTGGGTTTATCGGAAGTGTGATTCCCATAGCTGCTCAAGTTTTTTGATATGCGGATAAATTAATAGTTTAATTATTATTACTCCCTAGTACTACAAATTATCTTAAGGATAATAAAATAAAGGCAAAATACCTTTTTTAGTCCTTTAAGTTTACCCCAATGTCCATTTTGGTCCTTTATCTAAAAAAAGTGTCAAACTGGTCCTATAATTCTTTCAAAAGGACCGCGTTTGTCCTTTCCATCCACTCCGTTAGTCATGTTTAATGGCAGCGCTTATGTGGCATTACACGTGTGTTTAGAAAAATTGCATGTGGCAATTCCACTTACAAGTCAGTTTGACACTCATCAGTTTCATTTTGAAACAAAGATCAAAATATTTTTCTATTTTTGTTGGCAATTCCACAACTGAGAAGACTGAGAAGGTGAAACGCGAGCGAGCAGAACGTGAGCGAAGACAAATTCCTCATTCAAAACATTGCATGTTTCCTTGAAGGTGATGTATCTTATGTTTCAGCCCATCCTTCCTTTCCTTTAGATGATGTATCTCCATCTTTGCTCCATCAAGCTCATTTTGCAGCTTCTCCAACCTATTATTCTGCTTCTTTATAAACTGATCCTTCTCATCCACCACATCATCAAAGAACCATTGAAAGTATCCACACCCAGATTTAGATGAACCCTGTAATGGTGACATCCAGATTCATCTCAGCTATTGCAGGAACTATCAGAAAAAGAATATATGAAAACCCATTTTAATTTCATGCTTACCTTGTAATGACGACAACCCCAGAATTACTTCCCAAAGTTTGTGACAGTGGTAGCCCTTCGAAGAACCGCAGATTCTCCACAACCACATATAGGTTTCCATCGCAACTTTCCATCTAAGCTTCCATCTCTATTGCAATCGTACGAAGACCGGATCACTGATGATGTTTCCTTCATCATATTGAGGGAATTTCAAATTCAAAATGGGAAAATTGAGATGCAATGTGTGAACCCTAGAATTTGAGGATTTCTGGAAGCAGCTTGAAGATGGTGTACATAACATTCCATGTCACCTGCCACGCATGCAAACCAAACGTCCGTTTGTGCCTTTTGGATGGAAAGGACTCCTATGGTCCTTTTGAAAGAATTATAGGACCAGTTTGACACTTTTTTTAGATAAAGGACCAAAATGGATCTTGGGGTAAACTTAAAGGACCAAAAAGGGTATTTTGCCTAAAATAAATCATATTGGTTGGTTATGTCTATTTTTTCTGAATTTTTTTAGGACAGTTCTAGATTTTAAAATAGATTTTTTTTTGAAATATTAAAATAGATTAGGTTAAATTAGATTTAATATTTAAATATAATTTAAGTTGTGTTAGTTCAAGTCCAATCAAGATTATATATAAATAGTTATAATATGTATTTTTATTTTGTACAATTCATTTAAGTGAATAATATAATTCTTATTTTCTTTACTATTCTTTCTTTTTCTCTTTATTAAAAGTGTCTCACGCACTAACAAATTGATATCTAGAGCTTCACGTCAGAGATTGTGTTTCCAGGACAAGTGAATCAACTACTGCGAAGATGGTTAGTGATAAGGGCATTCTGAACTCTCTTCCAATGCTTGACGGTGAGAATTGGATCCAATAAAAAAACAGATGCAATCCTTGTTTGGCTTCCATGAAATCCTAGAAGTGGTTACCGACGGCATTCCTGCGTTGTCTGCAAATGCAACCGACAAATAGGAAAAAAAACCACAATGAAGTTAAGAAGAAAGGTTCTAAGGCTGCTTATTGCATTCAGACGGCGATCGATGCTGCTAACTTTGACAAAATCTCTCATGCTGAAACGGCAAAGGAGACATGGATATTTTGATGAAGTATTATGAAGGAAGTGAGAAAGTCAAGGTTGTCAAGCTGCAAACTTTGTGTCGACAATATGAGTTGTTGTCGATGAGAGAAGACGAAAAAGTTGTCGAACATGTGTCGAAGGTTCAGAAACTCTTCCATCTTATGAAGGATTGTGGTGAAACCATAACTGATAAGATGATAGTTGAGGAGGTAATGAGAATGTTAACCTCTCACTTTGATCACGTTATCGTAGCTATTCAAGAATCCAACAAACTTAAAACCTTAAAAGTGGAAGATTTGGTTGGTTCGTTGGAACCATATGAGATAAAGATTGTCGAAAGAAAAGGAGTTCAAGACTCGATACAGGAACTGCAAGCTCAGTCATGGAAAAGGAATGGTGGTTCTAACAAGTTCAAAGGCAATGTCAATAAGACTTAGGGAAATAAGTCTTGGTTGAACCCTCACAAGCATCAAGTTAAAGACAGAGCTTTTGAATCCTAGAAAAGAGGAGGAGGAAATTATTGAAAGGACAAAGAAGATAAAAAAAAAAGGTGTACAGTGCTATAACTGTGAAAATTGGGGTCACGTAGCCAAAAATTGTTGGTACAGAAAAGATAAGGGATCAACAGGCAAGGACAAAGGAATGAACCTTGCACGCCAAGATTTAGATGATTCTGAAGGTGATGTAGTGGTTATGGCTGCAGTTGCAGATAACCATGTCAAATCCAATATCTGGTTCCTCGACTCAGGCTGCTCGAATCATATGACTAGTCGAAAGGAGTGGTTGGTACATTTTGACGAGTCGAAGAATAGCAAGGTAAAATTTGCTGATAATAGTTTGTTGCAAGCAGAAGGTACTGGTAACATAGTCTTTCAAATGAGTAATGGAAGGAAAGTTATGATTAAAGATGTGCTCTATGTACCTAGAATGAAGTGCACAATGCTAAGTGTTGGACAACTAGTTAAAAATGTTTCTCAGTTGTCATGAAAGATAGAGTTTTAAAATTGTTCGACACCAAGAAAAATTTGGTTTTAAAATCTCCTCCGTCGAAGAACGGGGCGTTTAAGACCATGATCAGTTCGAATGAAGTACAATGTCTAAAAATTATTGTCGACCATAAGGATAGTTGGTTGTGGCATTTGAGGTTTGTACATTTGAATTTCCGATCACTCAATTAGATGATTACTCAAGATATGGTATCTGGTATCCCAAGTCTTGAGATACCCGAAAAACTTTGTGAAGGTTGTTTAGTCAGAAAGAAATCCAGAAACTCTTTTTTTAGACTATGCTAATGAGATCATCATGCATACTCGAAGTGGTACATTTAGATGTATGCGGTCCGTTTTCGAAGAACATACCATTGGTGGAAATAGATATTTTATTTTGTTTGTTGATGAGTTTAGTGGAAAGTTATGGATCCACGTGATCAAGAGAAAAGACGAAGTATTTGAAATCTTTAAGAGATTCAAGATGCTTGTCAAAAACCAGAGTGAGAAGAGGATCAAAAATCTAAGAACAAATGGAGGCGACGAATACAATTCGAAGATGTTTGAAAAATTCAGTGCAGAACATGGTGTTGATCATGAGGTAACTGCTCCTTATACGCCTCAATATAATGGAATTGTAGAAAAAATAAATAGAATCATGTTGGATATGACGAGATACATGCTGAAGCAAAATAATTTTCCAAAATATTTATGGGGTGAAGCTGTTTCGACTTCATTTTATATCCTGAACAGGTGTCCTACCAAGATATTAAAGAACAAGGTTCCTAAAGAAGTATGGAGTGGAAAATGATCATCAATGAGTCAGTTGAATGTGTTTGGCTCTATATGTTACAAGCATGTTCCTAATGCGAGAAGAAGGAAGCTTGATGACAAGAGTGAACCTATGATCATGGTAGGATATCACAAGACTGGTGTATAATCCAATTAATGAGAAGATTGTGTTAATTCGAGATATTGTGATTGATGAAAATTCTGCCCGAGATTAGGATTCTAGTAATTCAATTTAACAAGCCATTGATGAGATCTGATTTTGACAAAGAAACTGATGAATTCAAATTCGGGGGAATTGCTGAGAATCTAGTCGAAGTAGAAGCAGTTGCTGACATTCAATTAATAAGAAGATTGTGTTAAGTCGAGATATTGTGATTGATGAAAATTCTGCCTGGGATTGGAATTCTAGTAATTCAATTAACAAGCCATTGATGAGCTCTGATTTTGACGAAGAAACTGATGAATTCAAAGTCGAAGGAATTGCTGAGAATCCAGTCGAAGTAGAAGCAGTTGCTGACATTCCAGAAATAGTCGAAGTTAAAGAGGTTGTGGCTGAGACAAGCCAAAGACCTCAAAGAAATAGAGTTCTTCCAACAAGATTTCATGATTATGAGGTAGTGGGTGA